TATTTGTTCTTGTGAACCTCTGCGTGATTCTGTAAGTGCACAAAAAGAATGATTGAATTAAGTTAGGGAGAAAACTGTTTGGTAATTGCTATTGAAAAAAGTGCATGCATAGAGATTCTAGTTAAAAAATGAAATTGAAAAAAAGAAATTATTGTTATAATTTAATGTAGCTGAGATTGTCATTATATCTACAGTCTTAATTCTTGTTCCATCCTGAAACACTGGATTATTATTAAAACTGTCACTGAGGTTTGACAGGCTATGATGCTAAATAAAATAAAAAAGTTTCTGCCTGTAACAAGTTATAAATCGACAAGCGTTCTGAAAAAGTGAAAAAGTAATACGTTGCTGAAAAAGGGCGTTAAACTCGGATTCGTTGTCTGGACAATTTTTGTTGATTTCGACATAAATTAATTATCCATTGTTTCTCAACAAATGGAAATCAAAAGCTGATGAAAGGTTAGACGATGAAAAATAAATGTACACGTTGACCTATTGGTTTAATGAGGCTCTTTTTGAAGATATCTCCCAGTAGAAATATTAACAATACCTGATTGATGACAAAAATAATCTTCAGTAAACATCCGTATTTTTACTTTTTGTGTATGTGGAAAAAATGAAATAAAAAAAAGTCTTGAAGCCCCAACAAAGATATAAATGCAGCGGTCATCAGATCCAGAATTTCCGATTATTCTCCATCCTGCCGGAAGTAACTGATGAAGGCCCATGGAGTGTGAAGTGCTTGTGACGTCAAAGTATGATAATCTCTGAACAACGTTTCATGCCTGCTAGTATCGAAATTTATTTGATCTAAATAAACAAATAATAAAACATGAGGATTGTTCATGTATGGGTTGATGCACGATTGTCTTTGCTTCAAGGATACACTTCCGGTTTCCACACTGGACGTCTACTTCCGGACGAAAAAAATTTAAAGGCAAGGTGTAGAAAGGGGAAGCAACCCTGTTTACGCACGCATGTGTTACCATGAAAGAGCTTTGCTACGCTCTTATTAGGTTACATCGACCAATTTTTAACCCGAATTTCCGATTCCGAAAGAATATACAATGAATAAAATATATATACATATCTTCCGGAAGTGACAAAAACATTTGTCGATTTAGTCCTGATAATAAAATTTCTACATGAATGATAACAGAACCTGCTTATTCTATGTATTATGGACCCTATTTAAACCGAAGAACTGTCTATATCCCTAGGGATGACTCAATATGCAAAAATCCGGTAAAAACAGGTTTCGGTGTACACGTATGTACGCCTTAATTGACATCAATCCCAATATATATATACGTATGGTCGCCAAGCTAGACTATTTCACATGAAGTATTTATTGTATTATTGGTTTACGATACAAAATATCAGCAACCAGGTTTCCTCCTTTTCGAAAAATATGACCAATAAGAAGGCTTATGGTCAAACGTATGACTAGTTTCCTCGATATTCCAGGGGTTACGGTCATTTACGGTCTATGCACCCCTCGAATATATCATAGCAAAATCGAAGGCTCAGTATGCGCCACTTTGATGTACTTCAAGAATCTCGCGGTCGCGTAACGGTAAAATTGCCTGGCTTCGAAGTCGGTTGTTGCTCCTTTGTTATATTCAAAGGATTCCAACAATTGGTATTGGTAAGGATTTATTTTAAATGAGTCCAATGAAAAAGGTAGCTGTTTGCCTTCAATTTAGCTATGACATGCTCAAAGGGTGCAGAGAGCGAAAGTGAGCGTAACATCTGGAGTATCAAGGATGGAATATACCACGACCAATTCGAAGGATCATGGCTAATCGTTTGACCGTTTTAAGAATTTAGAAAAAAACCACCAACTGCTTCACTCAGACTTGTTCTGTGAAGATTATAGAGGAGTTATGCTGCTACGAAATTCACTGTATTAAGGAATCCTTAATAATCTTAAAACCCTCACTCGTTTCATCTGTCATCTTCGATACTCCAGGAAAATTAAAAAAAGTAATCAAGTCCTTTTCGTGAAAAGTCGGCTTCGGATTCACATTTCTACGTTTGATAAAAACAGATTTAAAGTTGAAATTGAAGTGACAATTTAGTTAAGTAAGTTTTTTATATAACCTAGTTACAAAATTCTTCATGAGAATATAGTTTGATACCCCTTAGGAACAATACATATCGAGAAATTGACAAGAGACAATGTTTTTGGCGTTCCTGTCAAGTAATGAGGAAATCATGAACTGTGCAACCTAATGCTTTATTGGTAACTGTCTGTGATTTTTTTCTGTCCAGCCGTGGAGAGAAGGTTCATTCTCTGTTTGTTCTCCTACCTTCTTACGAATACAAGCACTGGCATTTACTCTGAATCAATAGCATCGTCAAGACAACATATCAATAACCGTTATAGACGAGTTATTTGTTTTCAATTTAACCTACTGACAAATGTTTTGTTCGGTTTGAAATTCTCCCTTTGTTACCCTCTTGCGTGCAAATTGTATTCTAACCCGTTTCTCTTTATTAAAATACAACTATGAACAGACATATCTCATTATATTTTTTATATTATGATACATATAATTCTTGCTTGCGATGTATTGCGATAAATTTAAAGCGAAATCAGACACGCTGTCGACCCAGCGGGGCAATGTACGATGTTTAATTCTCGATGAAAAACCGGATATTGCGCTATTTCGGTCTTTGGCAGTATGTTTCAGTGAGGTAGCACTATAAAGTCGGCATCAGTTCCGCGCTATCAAAAGGAGACAAACACGATCATATTACAGGCTCCTATAACACACACGCATACATCTTGTGCATAGGGGAGGCCGACCTTGAAGGACCATAGCTGTTGATAGGACGTTAAACAATATTAAAACAAACCAATTTCCCAAAAGATAAAACTGACCGCACTGGACGTTGGTTAAAGGTCATGTCATTATCAACTACGTTGATTTTCGTTAGGAAATCTAAAATTAAATTAGTATTTAATCATTTTTAATGGTGTTGTTTGACTAAAAAAACTGTAAGGCCTGCCTGAATAATTCATTTTTAAACATGTTTTTATAGAAAACAATTTCACGTCAATGATGGCGTGCCTCACTTTTGACGTTGCCTTCAGATGACTTGACATCATTGAAACAAAAACAAGTGCTAATTCATTTCCAGATAATTTAATAAATAAAAGTACAAGTACAGTAATGTAAGACCATAAATACTGCATAAAAACGAAAGTCCTTTGAGTTGATCGCGATTGATATAATTTTTTGATCAAGAGCCTCTGGTGAGTTATCAACATTCAATACCGAACCTCTAGCGGGTGATCAATATTTTAACCATTGGTCTCCAGCGAGTGATCGACATTTCACCAAGAGTCACTGTCGTGGGCGAGTGATCAACAGTAAAAGCCCTTAACTCTGGTAAGTGATCAGCATTTTAATCATTGTTCTCTAGCGAGTGATACACATTTTTATTAAGAGTCTCTAGTGAGTAATTATCATTTTCATAGAGAGTTTCTAACGAGTGGTAAACATTTTTAACACGAGTCTCTATCGAGTTGGTCAATATTTTAATCACGAACCTCTGACGAGGGAAAAGTATTTTCGATTAAACAAAGTTTTTATCACGAAGCTATGGCAAGTGATCAGCATTTCTATTTAGAGCCTCTAGCGAGTGATCACCATTGTAATCACGAAGCTCTGTCGAGTGATCAACATTTTAATTTCAAATCTCTAGTGAATAGTTATTATTTTCATCCTGAGTCTCTGCCAAGTTATCAAAATTTTAATAACGTTTTCCAGCAAAGGATCAACATTTTAATAACAAGTCTCCAAGCAAATGATAAACATTCTAATCAGAAGTCTCCTAGCAAAGGTTCAACATTTTAATACGAGTCTCCAAGCAAATGATCAACATTTTAATCAGAAGTCTCTAAGCAAATGATCAACATTTTAATCAGAAGTTTCCAAGCAAATGATCACCATCTTAATCAGAAGTCTCCAAGCAAATGATCAACATTTTTATTATAAGTCTCTAAGAAAATGATCAACATTTTAATCAGAAGCCTCCCTTCAAAGGATCAACATTTCAATCATAAGTCTCTAAGCAAATGATCAACATTTTAATCAGAAGTCTCCAAGCAAATGATCAACATTTTTATCATAAGTCTCTAAGAAAATGATCAACATTTCAATCAGAAGTCTCCAAGCAAAGGATCAACATTTTAATCAGAAGTCTCCTATCAAAGGATCAACATTTCAATCATAAGTCTCCAAGCAAACGTTCAACATTTTAATCAGAAGTCTCCAAGTAAATGATCAACATTTTAATCAGAAGTCTCCAAGTAAATGATCAACATTTTTATCAGAAGTCTCCTAGCAAATGATCAACATTTTAATCAGAAATCTCCGAGCAAATGATCAACATTTTTATTAAAAGTCTGTAAGCAAATGATAAACATTCTATTCAGAAGTCTCCAAGTAAATGATCAACATTTTAATCAGAAATCTCCGAGCAAATGATCAACATTTTTATCAGAAGTCTCTAAGCAAATGATCAACATTTTTATTAAAAGTCTGTAAGCAAATGATAAACATTCTATTCAGAAGTCTCCTAGCAAATGATCAATATAAGTATCTGGTGAGTGATCAGCACGTTTGTAAACTCGAATAATTTAACTACCGAAAGTTATTCTAAGGAAACAGACAACAAACATAAATGAACAACTTCAATGAATTTCAATGCTTATGATCATGGTGATAAACAAAGTGATAATGCGATTAACATAGGGTGACATCACGATAGAAAAAGGCTAAAATGGTATCCAATCGTGAATTACCTTTGTTTTAAGCCCTTGATAAAAGTATTACGATTTATTTATGTTGCTAGAATTGAGATACTTGAAACGTGAAGGAAACCAATGCAAGCGAATTAAACGTTGTTATAAACTTGTTTTAACACTGTTGTTGATGTAGGGAGACATTACGTGATATCTCCTTTTATGTTAATGGACTAGGCCAACATTAACCGAACCCTAACGAACCCATCCCTCCAAACATTCCGCCGCCCATAGAGCCTAGACCACCCATAGAACCTAGACCACCCATAGAACCGAGACCACCCATAGAACCGAGACCACCCATTGGACTTAGACCTCCCATTCCTCCCATTCCTCCTCCCATTCCTCCCATTCCTCCTCCCATTCCTCCAATTCCTCCTCCCATTCCTCCTATTCCTCCCATTCCTCCCATTCCTCCCATCATCCCTCCCATCATTCCACCCATTCCTCCCATCCCACCCATCATACCCATCCGTCCCATTAAACCAAATCCCATATTAGCCTCAGCAACGTCAGACATAACGTCCAATTGCGTATCAATCATGTCCGAGATACTATTGCTCACTGCTCCCGCTGAGCTTGCTGCTAAACCTGCAGTGGCTGCTACATCAATAGCGCTCGGTTTTGCACGAGGAGATGCCGCACTAAGAAGTGCGGCAAAACTTGCCATATTTGCCATATTCATTCCAGCATTACCGCCACTTGGTGCCGCGGAATTTCCTCCACTGATTTGAGTTCCAGAATTTCCTCCACTGAGTCCTGGGAAGATGGTGTTTGCGGTGGGATTAGGGGTCGGCGGCAATGAAGGAACATTTCCACCTGTCAATGCTGCTAATTGTGCCGACGTGACTCCATTCGCTGCTAAAATGGCAGCAATCTTTGCAGCTGACGGTTGTGCAGGAGCTTTTGGAGCAGGAGTTGGAGCAGGGAGTTTAAATTGCGGTCGAAAATTTGCAAATAGCGCTGCTAGTTCTGGAGGCAAGTTACTTTTGACGGGGTTTGCTGGTACTGCCGCTTTTGCGGCGGCTGCTGCTGCTGTCGCTGCAGTCTGCGCCTGTGCAAGGGCTTGTGCCTGTGCAAGGGTTTGTGCCTGTGCAAGAGCTTGAGCTTGAGCAAGAGCTTGAGCCTGAACTTGTGCCTGTGCCTGTGCCTGTGCCTGTGCCTGTGCTTGTGCTTGTGCTTGTGCCTGTGCTTGTGCCTGTGCTTGAGCTTGAACTTGCTGGGATTGCAATATAGATTGAGCGTGCGACTGTTGTAGCAGTGCCGCCAACGACGCTTGACTGACTGCAGGGGAAGCCGGTGGCGCCCCTGGAGCAGAAACAGCGGGCTTTTGTCCAGATCGCAGTCTCTCTATTAATCTCATTAAATCTGGAGACATTTGAGGACTTGCTGCCTTACTAACGGGAGATGGTTGTTTCGTTTCTGTCACTGTAACTGACGGTTTTGCAACCTTTGTTGATGATTGGCCTGTCTCAGTAGTCTTTGTTGTTCTTTTTATGCTGATTTTTATAGTTTTAACGTTATTTTTTTCGCTTTTCTGTGGTGGAGGCGTGCTTGGTTTCGCAACTTTAATCACCGGCGCAGGTTGCCAAGCCGGCCGTGTAATTGTTATTTTCTTTGGCAGAGGTTGTCGTTGAACTTCCGTCTTTGCAGATTTATCTCCGGTAAGCATACGGGATAACTCGGCTAGTCTTTGAGATGGTCCAAGACGCATCTGTATAGCTGCTAATGCATCACTTAACGATATTGCCTGTTTTTTAGGCGCAGGAGGAGCGGCTGCCAAAATTGCTGTCCCAGCATTGGAAAGTGAATTTTTTAATAGAACTGAATTGGCTGGCATCTGTGGGATTGACTTTTGTTTGTTCGCCGCCAATAAATGTTGAAACATACCTGTAAATATATGACACATTTTTATTTAAAACAACTCATCATTCGAGATGAAGTTATTATACTGTTTGAGGAATAACTGCTAATATTATTTCCGACACATAATTGAACAGTTATATTATTCTTGTCGCAAACGAAATCATCACAAAAATATCGTTCGATGAAAATTAAAAAAGGTAACTAATTCCACGGGACCTAACGTAGTTTACATAATATACATGACATGTGTTACTTGTGTTTTCATTGATATCATAAATTGAAACAACTTCAAAATACTAATAATAATCTATTTTTTGCACCAACAATTTACAAACAATTTACGTTTTCACTTGTTGCAACTTGTCAAGACAGACATATTTCTATGCTAAACCTTTCGCACGATATCAGATAGAGAGATCAGTCGGCTTTGAAACGAGGTGTGTGTACATAGTCACATAGTTTGAAACAGTCTGTTTGCCTTAGTACTGAATATAAATGGAAGGACAAATTTATACTAAAAATGTTTTATATGCAGAGTGAAGATGAGGACAAATATGTTGTTATTTTTTCCCCAGAGTACACTCGCTCAATTTTACGGCCAAAAGATATTTTTTATAGCGCTTTAAATTCGCGGGGTCGATATTTCGCGGTTTCCTATTTAGTACATATTCGCGGGGTTTAAATTTTTGCTGTGCATTCGAATCTCATGTGTCGTGCAAAGTCTTTAGAGTGTAATCATTTAAGGGTTAAGCCTCGAAATATAGGTAAACCGTTGGAAAACACTGATCCAGAGCGTCGTCATACGCTAGTGACTTTACTCGAATGAAAATAAAATGTGTATATATCTTTGCAGGAGTAAATTGTAATCAATTAATCACCTATAGCTACTGTGTACACATAAATATGTTGTGGACACTTATATGTCAGTATTGTTTTTGCATTAACTGTCAGTTGTCCGGTGATATTCTGATTTGACTTGATTTAAGCCCACATAACAGCGTTGGGTTATAAGTATTTTCAATATATTATGATAAGGTCAATAAAAGTGGCTAACATTTTTGATAATTTCGCTGGTGTTTAGAATTCGCGGATATTAGTCAAAGTGCGAAATTAAAACCCCCGCGAAATATAGCTGCTAAACAGTACTTCTCATGTTGAAGGAAGCCCAAAATGTGTTGGTATCTTAATTCAAGAGTATTCTTGAAACTAAGTCTCCAATGAAATTTTGAGATTGATAATAATGTGACTGAAAGTCAAAATATTCCAAGTATGTGTAGTTCCAACAGGATGTTTTAAAAAAAATATTTCTAACTATTATACCTCATATTTTAACAAGGTGTTTGATTGGATGAAATCGATCACATCTCGGGGGAATAAAATCATCGTGTTGCCCTCAAGCGCAATAACGATGTCGTAACGTATCACATGATTATTTTTTTTATTAATAATTAGTGTATAGGGCGAAATTATTGCAAACTTTGCATTTTCAAAGTCGTAGAGTCGTCGATATAAAATATCTTTATTTCAGATATGTTACAAACATGTACTGTATTTAGCTTCATGCATTTACTAATAAAAAAAATCTTCCTTATTCCCTTTTAAGTATAGAGTACACCCCCTTTGATTTCGAGAATGGGTTTTTTATGTTTGATATGATTCGATTGAAATTGATTTTCTTAATGAATGTTTCGTTTTGGTACTGTTTTCACGTGAACAATGACAATTCAAATGAGACCTGGGAACATTGCAACTCAGACCTAGAATTAACGTTTTTTTTACAGGTATTGATGTTTTAACATTTATGAATAAAAACAAAGCCATGAAAACCCGCAATACGATTTATGACCAACTTGATGTTGATCCGATTCCCAGCGTTATTAAGGAAGAAATATCAGCTTCCGGTTTGTTTTCATCAGGATTCAAAGTTGAAGATTGAAGTGATAATTTGAAAATTGTCTTCAGCAATCTTTCCTTTCAACCTGCCAGTTCAGTATGCACAAATATACTAGATACAAATATTCCCCAGGAGGCCCTTTCGAAGCAATGCTAATTTTCAAAGTAATTAAAACATCCAAGGAGGCCGTGAAGGGGGATTCTCCAAGAGAACCCTATTCCGTTGTTACATGAGTCTGTGTATAACTAGTATATGTAACCAAGACAGCTGGCAGTATGCTACTCATACGGCAAACACCTACATGTCCAACCCCATATAACGTCGTTGATATATGAAACAAAGAAATTAAAAACCCCACGAAAATTAGTGATTACACAGTAGAAATAAATATGCACACATAATGCTTCTCTATAGGATATAACTCAAATATCTTCTCTTTGTCATTATTATAATCCATTATTAATTCATATAATTTATAAAAAAAATGTCTTACCTGTATTTGAAGCAATTCCTGAAATAAAGAAAGGTACAAACTGTTGTTAGCACAATTACAAGAAAACAAAAATATGTTATCATAAAATTTCCGAAAGTATATGTGAATTATACCTTCAAAACAGATCCTAGATTGCTATTAACCTACATATGTTACTCAACATGATGGGGTCAATAACACGTATGACAAATGCTGTACGGAAAACGTTTGCTTTGTCGTTTTCAAATTAGCTTAGGCCCTATTGTAAAATTCGCAAATGTAAAAAATTACAAAAAAATATCAGTTGAATTGTTTTTTTAGTTGTGAGCCCTTAAAACATTTAAACATATTTTTAAACACGGAAGTAATGAAAACATCAATTTACTATACCTTCATGGCGTATAACACCCCATTGAAACTATTTTGTGAACATCTATTGCTCTGTGATAACTATAATAATTATAAATTAAAAGCTTTTTTACAACTTTTAAATATTAAATAATCCTAAATCATAGAAAATGAGGAAATATTTCGAAAGAAATCCGAAAGATAATATTACCGTTTTTTCCCCGTTTACATTTTCTTTGTTCATTTTTTTTGCGGTTTCTGTGCACAAAAAGTGTCATTTAAGATGTATATTACATAAAATTCGTTACAAAAACAAAAATCATTTTCTAATTTATAAGTGATTTAGTTATACTTAAATTATTGCATTCACTCAAACTTATGTTAATCATACACAAGCAATGCTTAGGCTCGATATCCTCTATATAGGTATAAAGTTTGATTATGAAAATATAAAAAAGGAAGCAAAGAGACACCAAAAGAAAAGGGAAGCCATCATAAAATGGATTAACCTTTGAGGAGCTCCAGGTGAGGAAGTGTTTTAACACCCCGAGTGGCAAACTTCGTTATATATCCCATAAAAAACCGAGAGGGTGTGTCGCACACTTGATAATAATAGTAATAATAATATACAGCATTTGATATAGCGCCCTATCTAGCTAACATAAGCCACTCTAAAGCGCTTTACAGTACGTAGATACTTTTTCTTTTTTCATTTTTCTTACAATCAATACAATTAGGATATACAGTAATCAATACAATTTGAGGAATTCGCAGGAGTTGTCTTATCAGGCGCTAACTTCTAGTCCTATGCCACCTGGCTAATATCTCCTTATGTATGTATACCTGCGTGTGCGCTGGAGATGTATTGTGTGAAGACTTAACTTATACTTAAGACCTAATTATGGACATCTTGTATTATTTCAGATACGTGGAAGTTTTATGTTGTAAAACTCAATATCGGATTTGTCGTTTCACTTTTTATTTCATTTTTTTTTTATATTTGATGTTAATATATTGACGCCTTGAACAGTCTTTATTCGATGAGGTATTTTTAACTATATGTTAGCATTACATGTCCAATGATACAATTAAAGTAAATATGATGTTACCAAAATATTTGCATGCAAATGAGAGAACTAATAACACAAATGCAAACTAATGATAATATACAATGTATATATATATATATATATTATGCTACTAGTATATGATCTATAAAACAAGGAGAATGCGATTCTTAGCCATACATATATATATTGCTTTAGAGTTACGTAAGCAAATAAAGATATGTTTATGAAGCATATAAATCTTAACTATAGAATGTGCATGCACATTGTTTTTTCTTTGTTTTTGTTTGAACACATATAAATACTACGAATATGCAAGACTGTTTTTTTTAATAAAGTAAATTTTCACAAAACCGTTGTGTAATGAACGCGCGTACATAACTAAATCCATAAGTCTGCTCTTAACGTTTCAAACAGTTCCTTACAGAAGATTTTTGTATTATAAAGTGGTTGTTATCTTTAAAACAAAAAATGGTTTCGTTTGTCATGACAACAGTTTTGGACGGTTCACTAGACATGCTATTGCTGAAAGAACTGACCGTACGGCAAGATAAAGGGGAAGAATCCTTGTCAATGATGAAAAATTCCACGGGTGTATCCAGGGGAAACGCTCAATTTCGCTCTTTGCACCTCTGGCATACTCCATAGCGAAATTGAAATCACGCGGCTAGCTTTTTGATTGGTCTCAGGTAAAAAAAGCACACTGATCAATCGCTAGACTGATATATGTCCTTTGAGTATTACAGAGGGGAACACCAGACTTCAAAGCCAGTCAATTTTACCGTTACGCGACTGACAGATTCTTTGGGTGTACAATTGTCAAACTTCTCGTCTTATCCAAAAGGTGGTGCACATTGAGTCATATTTACAGGGGTGCAGGGAGCGAAAGTGAGCGTAACCCCTGGAGTTTCGAGGATGGGCATTACTGTAGTTCAATGACAAGTAAAAAATAAATGAACTTCAATCGTAAATCCATAGTTTGCGAAGAACTGAAGAAAACGTCCAATAAACAGGATCTGGTAGAGACTACAATTTTGCAATATAATTAACCTTAAAGTTTATATCAAAGGAACTGCAATTATTAAAAATGGCGATATCTGAATCGAACTTGATGAGTTTGTATCGACTTCATATAAAAACACAAATGCTAGTCTCAATTGATATCACATAACCCGTTGTTTCCGGGTTTTTTGGTTACTTTTTCCATATAATCGTGAAAACAACAACTTTTCATACAGACTTGAATATAAAGTTGCGCGATTCTTTCATTTTCGTTTTTTAAAGATAGCAGAATGCAATTTGCAATCTGTGACGCCATTTAGTTGTCCAAGTTGTGTCTTCAAATTTTAAACAATGCGAAATTATTGTCAATTACACCATCGCCTATTGTTGTGAATTGTACGACCATAACAGTTATATACGTATCTTTTAAAAAATGATTAATTATCTTGTTTTTAATACCACTAAGTTGTACTAGTTGTGATGTCACATTTTTACCTAAATTGTTGTTAGGTATTATTCAAGGTATGCCAAAAACATAATATATGTAATATATAATTAAGATATTATCTATTATTAATAATTTTTCAATGATTAGTCTTGTGAAATATTTCACTTTCGACTCAAACAGTCTTTTTGGGATTTCTATTTTCGAACGAATATTCATAAATAATTCACTGCCCCTATCTTTTTTATCTAAACTCGTATTTTCTTTTTAAATCAAAACAAATTATTACGATCGAATAAACATCATCTAATAAAGATGGCCTAACACGTCTTTGTTGTATCTGATTTATTAAGATCTGGGCTCGTAATCATAAAACCATTATCATGCTCAAACTCAGATTCTGTGCTCAAGCCCAATATCTTCTCAGTGATAAATAAATGAAAAATCTATTTTTTCCGTGATTTGGAAGAATTTTGAATAGACTTCAAGCAAAAAGCTCTTTGAAATGTTTGCACTTCATATTTTTACCATGTCACATGATTTAGCGAGTTACAAGAAAGATGGTTTGAGCACAGGCTCCATTCTTGAGCATGATAATGGTTTCATGAATACGGGCCCTGGTATGAGTTTGTGATCAGGCTGTTTTTGTACAATGAAATATTTATTGCATACAGATATGGCGTGTCTTGAAAAAATGTGTTGAATATTCGTTGATAACCGCAAAAAAAGAGGAAATAGTTTCACAAGAATACACACTAGTAGTTAACTTGACTACAATATATATTTCCAGTTAACAGATATAGGTTTCGTATAAATACCTTCTGTCGCAATTTCTGACATTACTTCAGAAATACGATTCAGCTTTTCGTTGGCTGTATCAGAATATTACGTAAAGGTCAAAAAGGTTATATCAACGGTAAAATTTATAATAACACTGGATCCTTACGAACGTTTATTTGTTGGATACGATTTACTTAAAATTGGTTTATCGAGCGAGGACGTCATTTCAACAGTATAGACAATATAGGGTTGTCAAATTTTCTCAGTTATCCGCTTCTTTATCGGATCGAAACACAGAAAAAACAAAACACTTGCATCACATAAGAATAAGATAAAAATATATTAAGATATATCTTAAAATAATAAACCCCTCGGCTAGCGTAAGTCTAGGGCAGAATGTACACTGACCGCATTGCTGACCAATGGGCGAATTATATATATTGTTTGTTTTCACGTTTCTATAACAATATATATGAAAGGAGGATAATCTACCAAACAAACTCAAAAAAACAAACACTACATGGTAAGATTCCTGTTTGTAGTGTAATAGTGTGTGACATTGCGCAGTAAGTTTCGTCAACTGGTCTATAGAAACAAATTGTCACTAGACATATGGTGTGAAGAAAATAAAGCTCTGAATATCTCCATTAACTATATATAAAACAATCGAAACATTGACAGATCATTGGCAGCTTTCTAGTTGTTTCTTTTTTTTTCTTTTTTTTCTTTGTTTTTGTTTTGTTTTCATAAATGATGAAAAGTTAAACTTGGGTAAACAATAGATTCTGTGACCAGCTATATGTATATGTGTAAGAGTACAGAGAACACTTCATTAAAATACAATGAAACGTGAATGGTTAAGCTCGTGAATTAAGTGGCATTATGATAAATGACCGGTAGGGTATATATTTACTTTAAACGGTGGAGCGTGTGACATCGAATCTTACGCATCAGTTATCCTAATGAAATTGATTTAATGAAGACTATTGACTTCTAGCAGTGTTAACTTTACAGTGTAACCATTACTGTATACTAAGCTTTCTCTTTTTGCGTCCTAAGATTGGACATAACGATTAAACTTTTCAATTATCTTCAGATGGCATTAATATATTATTTTTTTATAAATAATGATATTCCAGGGATTCTAGTTCGTTGCTATTCACTTACTTTGAGCTGTGGCGTAATCTGTGGAATAAATAGAAACATTGGGTTAGAAAATTGCATTGTATTGTACACATATATTATAACAACTTTGAGACGGTATAAGCAAGTTATGATAAAATCTTTATAATCACCCCCGTCAATAATTACTTTTTTCAAGTAACTTAACTCCAGTGAGTTAATAATCCTAAATTGCAAAGTGTATGTATTTTCAGTAAGTGAACAATTTGTTATCCGTTAGTTATAAGGCCTTTGCAACCAGCCAATATCTTTCTCTACTCCCAATGGATCATACAGTCGTTGCTTCCCTTACGAGGCGCACATCTAGCATTCAACAATTCTAGCAATACCCAACCACGTACTCATTTACAGCTGAGCAGTGCCGTGACATGATTCGAACTTGCAACTCTTCGATCATGAGCCGGACGTCCTACCACTAGACTTCCCTGTCTCAAAATGTGCTTACAATCCATCAAAAGTATTTTAACATGTTCAGTAATTTAGTTTATTTGATATAGAAATATCCAATACTAACTGACAGGAAAAGCCTTACTCTATAAAAAAAGGTCCTTATATTCACACCTTGGTTAATTGATTATAAAAATGTGTAAATGCATAAAATCTAAGATTGTACATTTATGTTAAACGTAATTTACGATGTGTTCTTTACATTCGATATTTTCTGTAAACATAACATATATTCCTTTTTAGCAGGGTCTTTTTCTTTTTATGCTTTGGTTTATTTTTATAGATATATCACTTTCTTATTATATCACATTTGTATTTGTATAAAAATATATCTTTTTATATTATTTTTGAGCGTAATCATATCTCATGTCCCTCTAACGTCAGTTTTCAAGTGTTTCCCGTTGTCACCGCATTCAAACCTGCTTTTCAAAACAATCGATGTCATAGTTAGCATGGCATGTACATGTATATTAAACATCTCACCGGCGATGCTAGCAATCAAAATAGCCAATTTGTAAACCGTGAAATAGAAACAGAACCCTTATTGAACAGATGAATGCAATACAGAAACACGTGACTGTAGTGTTAAATTTGGTAATATCCAAAAATGAATTGCAGAGCACCAACCAGCTCATCGGTGAATTAAGATTTCTCGAAAAATATAAATGAATGAATGATAGGCTGTGGCTGTAAACCGGCATCTCGGTTAATTGCGCGTACAGGACACAAGGTCATTTGGTAACGACACAAGGCAACACTAACTATGTTAATAAAACACAATATATGCCTTATTGTAATCTACCTGATATTGTCATAAACTGGAGTCAATGTTCTTGTGCCTGTGGTCACACGATACGATATTGTTTACAACATTTGACCACTTTACGGTATCATTTGCCGTAAAGTGTCATCCGGGTCTTTTTTTTTATTAAAAGTAATAAAACTGTGACGTAAGTTTGTTATTTAATAACGAAACTTTAGTCATAAAATTATATAATTATGTTTACGACACTGGGCCACTTAACGGTAAATAATGCCGTAAAGTGGTCCAGTGTTGTAAATACGTCATACTGGTCTTTGCCAATAGTGAAAACGAGGTATATGTGTCAGGTATATTGTCATTATTGCGTATTAACATTAATCTCTAGAGAACAGTTCGAACATTTACACAGGTGTGTGAAATGATACGCATATGATATTGGTAAGTGGTCCCCAGCAAGATGTCCTTGACTCCATGGTTCAATGACTTCATATTCACGGCTGATAGTAGGCTTGAACAAATGTTAACGAAATTATACTGATTAACTTTAAAACATTAGCCTTCTTTCCAAATGAGCTCCAAACACACACAAACATTCGGTTCAATTTTATATGTTACACATTAGTGGTTTGAGCAGTAATGCGGTAACGGAATAGTACTAAGGAAAAAGGAATCACGAAAACTTGCCTAAGACATGACCATTCCTGTCAATCAATGATTCAGGGTTCATAAGGTCACGTGCATGATGACCGTTGTTAACGTCAAAATGACATATACAGTGTAGTAAGGCAATCCAACGCAATCTATATCACCCAGACACCTTCGTTCCCCGGCAAAGGGGGGAGGATAGTGAGACCAATTGGGTAATTTTGTTTAGAAAAATCTAAACCTATCCCCTTCAAATCCTAGTATTTTAGGATAAATAAATAAGTGGGAGCTAAATAAGCGATCATTTGGTGAATGTGTTAAAAGCGACTTTTTTGAAAAGTTTAAAAATAAACTTAAATACACAGTAAATAATGTGGACCCATGAAATTTGCATTAAGATTTACACTATAGTCGAATTATTGTAAAGCGGCATGTGCATATGTTATTCTAATGCCTCACGAACACACATTATTCCAAAGCGCCATGAACACATGTTATTCTAAAGAGCCGTGAACACACGTTATTCTAAAGAGCCATGAATACACGTTATTCCAATTGGTCGTGGACACACATTATTATAATGGATCGTGAACACACATTATTCTAAAGCGCAATGAATACACGTTATTCTAAAGCGTCATAAACTCACATAGGAATAAATGCATAATTACAGTTCATATTCATAATCAGATGCTTCTATAATCTCCATGAACATTTAATTGTTCTTTCTATTAAAGGTTCCAACAACAAAAATATAAAGATCCATTTGATGAATTACTTTATATCTATTCCTGTAAATCATTATATTGTGATTCGTCTAAGTCTCCAATTCACATTTGTCTCTTATAAATATATTTCCGTCCTCTTGAATTAATTTACAATTAAAAGAAATATAAAAATGTATTACCTTTATTTAACGTTTTCCATAGATTTTCTTTCTCAAAGGAAACCTCTAAATTTAACCGCGCGACCATTAACAGTTTTACGGTATATCTGAAAAGAAAGGCTAAACCCGGTAGTCTGGTTTCGAGGCTATAGTGACCTTTTTGACACTTTTTTATTATCTATCTTACTTACTGAACACGCATTACATCGCTATGTGTAACACGTATACCAGCGTAGCAGAGTAGTTGATCGATGTATACACATGATCAGTCTGTCGTCTGTTGGATTTTTATGCTTAAACCTCATACGTCATAATGGCCATCAAGGACTAAATCTGAAGAGCTTTGTCAGCTTAAGACATATATCAAACCATTTTTGAATGTTCATGTCCACTGTTAGCTACGCCATCATTCGCAAATCGCCATTATTATTCTTTCTACATATTTATTTTTGTTTGAAATGATTTTTGAAAAAAAACAACATATGTGATAAAATACGTGTTTCTATGTCTTATTTAAAAATTATAAATACATTTATTTAAATACACTACTGAAGGATCTGGAAAAAATAGTGGTTTTCTCTAGAGAAAAAAAAAGATAGACAATTTCCTTAATCATTATAACACAATTTATTTATATATATATGTTGTGAAGTTTATAGGACGCTGATTTATCGTTTTAGAATGCTTTAGGCTGACTATGCTTTGGCTGACTGTGAACCTGTCAATCATCGCACCAAGTGAATATCTTACCAGTGACCACTCCATTTGATAGCCAGTAGCATGTCAACAGTAAACGGTGTCAGGGTTGTATACGACCTTGACACATCCTTTATCACTCCACCAGATATTATAATGCTATGTAGTATTGCAAAGTAGAGTTTCTGTTGTGATATGATCATGAACTGTATATATCTTAATGAAAGTGATAAAATTATCAAAATCTTAATATTACAATTTATATATGAAATATATATATTTTTAAAAAATTGATATGAAATGTATATATCTTAATAAAAGTAATACAATATAAAAAATATGATCATTACACTTTTTATATGAAATGTATATATCTTATTTGGAGTAATAAAATGTATAAAATATTATTATTACAATTTATATATGAATGTTTACATCTTATGAAAATATTGATATAAAATGTATATATCTTAATAAAAGTAATACAATACATAAAAGATTATTATTACAATTTTTATATGAATGTATGTATCTTATAAATATATTAATATAAAATGTATATATCTTAAAGAAAGTATTAAAATTATGAAAATATTAATATTACAATTTATACATGAAATATATATATATTTTTTAAAAATATTGATGTGAAATGTAATTATGTTAATGAATGTAATAAATAATGAATAATTATCAAAATATTAATATTACAATTTTGTATTAATATATTCAGTTATAGGTGTTAAATATATATATTTTTATCATTGAAAGAAATTATCGTAAAAATAGTGATATTTCCATTTTTGATGACTGTGGGCAGTTGTAAGTGATATACATTTTTTATCTAGTTTTTGTCAAGAATTTAATAATAAAACTAGAAATATTTCGATTTTTGAAAACTGCATTCGGCTCTAAAAGAAACAAAGATGCATGTTTATGTTAATTAAAATAAAAATGGTAACATTATTATTTTGGAAGATTGTTTTTAATTGTGAAATGTATACATGTATACAGGATCTTACACGAGTTTCCATTTCATAAGAGATTTATGAAACGAGTCTAAGATTGTTTTTAATTTAGCGAGCATCTGACGAGCAAAAATGAAACATTCGTGACGAGTTTCATAAAATGAAGTGAAATATGAAATGAAACGAGTGTAAGATCCTTTTTATCACATAATCATGATTTGTGGCATTTATTCGTGTAAAGCAACAATTTTCATGCAACTTTAAAATGTTAATAGCCGCCATTTTGACTCCAGTGCGTAAGTCTGTGACGTCATGTAATTGTCCTAAGCGTGACGACACAATTGAAGCAATTGAAACTTACAACCAATCACAGAGATTATAGGTCATATTACAGGGGTTAATACGCAAACGAAGATGACATGGGTATATTCACTGGATAACACAGTACATTATGTGATAAAACATTTTTATTTTATCACGACCTGTTGCCCAATGAATAAGCTACCGACTTCATAGTAAAATATACGAACACAGTAGGGAGACGTGTTTGTGAAAAGGAAAAAGGCGTTAGAATCTGATATATTTATTGTTTTCCGTA